GCTAAGCGTATGACTATCTGACAAAGTATGCTGATCTGACAGAACACCGGTCCGCGGTAATAAAAAGGTTGGGGACCACTGGTATAGAGGCTGTAGACCGCTGTAATCCAGAGTTCGACTCCTGTCCTTGGTTCCCTTCTCCCCTATTTTCCAAAAACATAACTGTGGTCAATGTAATAATTTGACTCCTGTCAGTGCAGCTATCCGATGTGAGCATATCAGATCATCAGCACCTGTTTCAGACATTCAGCTCATTGAATTGAATAGCCATTATTAGCAGTGAAAAGAGAAAATAATTCAAAATCAAACCCGACTTTGTGCAATTTGTCGGACCACCTCTTCTCCGCTGCTGGCGCATAAGTGCGGGATAATGCTTCTGCTTCTTGTTTTTATAATTCTGCATAATAAACTTAGTACAAGAGCCTTTTTTGTCAATATTTACCGTGAATAAACCTAATAAAGCATGTAGGTTTTCAGTTTCGTTGCTATGACGTCATTGCAACTAGTTGACAATGACTCGACTTTTTATCACGTTGTAGTTGACTTTAAAAAATATGAAGTTGTGGAACCCAGTAATGGTGTGCAATTTACCTTTACTTCATAGTTAGAATAAAACTGTGAAGGGAAAAAATGAAAATAGTCCAAGGTATCAATTATGGGTTCTTTGCCGACACATATTATCATAAGAAATTGAATTGGTATTATTTGTTCAGTACAGAGGACATAATAGGGGCTCTAGACCCTGTTGGCCCCTGTTTAGAACTTCTCATGCTCCGCTTTTAATTCATTTCACATTTAATTTTCTTTCAATTAAAACTTAATTTAATATGAATTCATTTCAAATCAATAATTTATTATTAGATAGACAGTGAAGAGAACTGGCCCACAGACTGTGTGAGTCAGACTCCATAACTAAGGCAAAGAGAACTAGTCCTTTGCATGATGAGGAAGTAAAGAAGTTGGAGCTGTATATTTTATAATGGTCTTCTACAGAGAGGGTCACTATCATGTGAGTAAAACATTCAGTCCATATTTAGAATGATTAAGTTTCAGGTTGGAAAGAAACATGTATAAGAAAAAGCTGCAAATGGAGCTTAAGAAGTTAAATTGCAATCTTCAGAGATCACCTAAATTTACTGTGATCAGCAAATGATTGTGTTATTTCACACATCAGATGGTAAGACTGACAACAGAAGTCCTTTGGGCTTCTATTACCATTCAACTAGAAATATAAAATGTTTGTAAACTCTGTTTCCACCAACACAAACAATCTAATCAGATTGTGCATCAAGTTCCATCGGTGTGTCACCAATTCAGAAATAGTTTTTCTTAGCTCTACAGAAGATGGTGTTGCTTTCATCTCTATGAAAATTAGTGTTCTACTTTGACTAATATGTGGCGTTATTGTGACTGACACATTATATGTCATTTTCATATTATGTGCCATGCCAGGTGGTTTAATTCTTGTGCTATGCTCAGTTTGCTTGTTAGTGTGGGTCATTAACTGATTGTGTGTGTTCCAGGCTGAAACCCGGGCAGAGTTTGCAGAAAGATCTGTGGCTAAGCTGGAGAAGACCATTGATGATCTAGAAGGTATGTAATACTCTAGCTATCAGGCCTGCTTTCTGTCAGTGTGTGAGTAAGGCCTTCCAGTCATCCCAGTCCTCCCAGTTATGCTTGTGTTCGCAGACAGCTCTTGCAGATGTAACTCTGAATCTGTTAGATGATTGGTTTTGATCTACAGAAATACTTAGCTCCCCTTTTAGTTGACAGAGTCAGTGTGTGTGACCTTGTTTTTTGTAAGGAAACAAATACTACGTTGAGAGGACAGATTTCTTCTGAAATCGGGTTTTGGGATGTGTTTTGGTTATAATTTATATTTTCCTAAGCAAAAATTATAACCAAAACACATCACACAATTCACCACGGTGTGAATTAAGTTTTGATTAAGATTAGGGTTAGGCATAAGCTAGGCATATTTTGCACCTGATAAATTATACATTATTATTGCTTTTGCAGGATTTTCTAATATTGTGCAGGACTGTTACAATCTGTGTTTCATTGTAGAAAGAATTTGATCTGTTTCTGCAGCAGCTGCCAGCTAAGGTCAACATCAGCCTGTTGAGTGTCATAAATGTGTCTCATTGAAGTCTATAGAACTTAGTATTTGTATGATTTCAACTTCATCTTGAAAGGTGTGCCAGATATCCTTCCTGTGAATTATTTATTTGATGTGGAGGTTTCTAAGTTGGTTATTTTTTTAAACCTTTGTTCTTTTCTCTTTTCTGTTCTTTCATTTCAATGTGTTCCCTTTCTTCCCTGTGTTGTCCTCCTGTCCATGGCTTCTTCCAGATGAAGTGTATGCTCAGAAGCTGAAGGGCAAGGCTCTCAGTGAGGAGCTGGACCTGGCACTCAATGACATGACTACACTGTAGAAGCTTCCTCCTTTCCTCTTCTCCTCTGTTGCCTCCCCATTCTCACCTGTTGCTTTGCTGGTCTCTTCTTGTTCTGCAGAAATGTTATTGGCTGGAAGATTTCTAAACATAATGCAGTAAATTCAGACTTTTTTCCTCTTTCCATTCTTTTTTTTTCTTTGAATTTACAGCTAGCCCCTTTCACTACTACCTGTCCTGAGGTCTGGAGTTAATGTCATTCGTATTTATTTAAATCTTCTTCCCCCTCCTTTCTGTAATAGATCTTTTTATCCTTATCAAATTCTGTATTTTCCCAATTTTCCCTTCTTTTTGTTTGACTTGACTTCCAAACGTTAACTTTGCAGTACAGAGAATAATGTCTAATTAGTGTGAGATGGTTTTCTCGATACTAAATTTCTCAGCATTGCCTTTGTCTGACCATGGGAAAAATGTGTGAGAATGTTGATAAAGTGATGATGACAAGCCACCGAGATGGTTTTATACATGGAGCTCTTTAGTCTTGTTTGCTTTGGTCTGAATTTCATTTTTGGTGGTAATAACAGCTCTAAAGTTAGCATCAATATGGGGAACTACTCAGAACTTGAATAAGGAGCTACTTTGTGGCTTTTAATTAATCAGAATTAACTTTGATTTAGTGATTCAAAACCTAAAATTATTTGATCAAACCTAGATTAGAATACTGTACACACCTCTCATACAATCCTTGTAAAGCTGAAACTCTTGCTAACTAGATGCTAACTTGAGCAAATTATATCCCATCGAACAAAGATTTATATATGAAAACTGTAAAATTGGACTGCTTTGTGGGACTTTTGCTACAATGTAAAACATCTGAGCAGCATTTAATTGCATTACTACTATTCTTCAAGTCAAATAATTTTAGCAAGTTTTAGATTTTGAACCCAAATGTGTGTTTGTGAAAAATAAACTTTCACAAGGTGTGTTAACTTTTTATTAATTTTGTCAAACCTCCAAGAGTTGAATAAACTAGAGTTTTCAGCTTAGCACTTAAAAAAACTGAAAGAAGAAAAAGACAGGAGTGGGAATTATTTCCCAGAGTGCTTAGCAGCATATTTTTGTTTCCTGAGATGGGAGTGTGTAACACTGATCTGACTCCTGTGTTATTAAGGCAAATGTTTATTTAATGCAACTGACAAGTTTGCGAAGGTTGAGGATAATGTCCTGTTTACACTAAATGTTTCTGAGCAGAATTCAATGTGATGATTAATAATATTCATTATCAGATCAGAAAATTTTTCATGCAATTTCAAACAAGATCTTAAATTATTCTCAAGTAAAATAAGTAGTTACTTTAACTTGATTTTGTGAGTAAAAGTAATAGAGAAGTGTGTGCTCTTTAACTAGGTGAGGGCAGTGTTTTTTTCTTGCATATTATGAAATAATTATTTGGTTTAAATTGCAGCATTAAGTTAAAACTCACAATTCAAGATTAATGAGCTTAAAAAACAATGTTGTTGTTAAATCAACTTCATGAACTTTGATCACAGAGTTAAAACTTATACAATTTTCTTGTTGACTTAAACTGCGTTTTCAAGTTAAACCACCTTGAAATGTTTTACAGTGTTGCTGTGTTCCTGTCAAACTGGAAGGCCTTAGGTTTGAATCCCACTTGAGGTCTCTCTTCATGTCCTCCTTGAGCACACATTGGTTCTCTCTGGGTACTCCAGCTTCCTCCTACAGTCCAAATACATGACTGTTGGATTAATTGTCCTGTGAAGGACTGGGTGGACCTTGGCTCTGACCCGATGACCGCTTTAAATAGTCCTCCCTTGACCATATAGGAAAATTGACAATGAGCTGTTTGTAGTTGTCAAGCTATATCTATGGACAGAGCGATCATACTGTACATCAATTCAAGTTTTCTAGATTAAAGTACAAAGCAGTCAAATAGTTACATTTAAAAGAGAAGTATAAAATCAGACAAAAACACCAGCCACATCTCTAACTAGTGCCTCATCCAATACACAGACAGGAAGCAGAGCATCATGACACTCTATTATTATGTAGGCAGGATACTGAGGCCATAAAATGAAATGTTCAGCCGGAGAGGACTTCAGACTGGCTCCACCTACATGAGGATATGAGAAATAAATAGAGATCACAGATGACCATGTTCAAGATTTCAAACCATTGCATTCAGGATAAATCGTGTGAAACGGCACTCTAGGTGGCAACGGAACCAGAAGGATGTTAAAAATATTTCAAGAAAGGGTAAAAGGGTTGATGAGAGTTTGAAACCCAAAGAGCCAAATCATAACCCTATACACCAGGGGTGTCAAACTCATTTTGGTTTAGGGGCCGCATACAGCTTAATCTGATCTGCAGGGGGCCACACAAGATTTCAAATGTGTGGCTTCACACATTTGAAATCTTAAGTGTCAGCTGTTTTAAACAGACATTTGATTAAGTACATTTGATGATGCATAAAATGCATACATATAGAAAAACTTGCATACATAACATGTATGTATGTTAGCATGTACGAGAAATATGAGGTTACCAGGGCCAAAATAAAAACTGGTAAAGCATAGAATCGAACTTGTTTACAGAACCTGAAGCTCAGTGCTGCCATCTGCTGTTAGTTCCGCTGCAGTGTTGCATCATGTTGTGTGCGCTGAATGAAACACAGCGCCCCTCGTGGACAGTATAGGAACTGCAGATTTTCAATTAAACGATGTATATGTTTTTTCATGAATAATGATAATGCATTTAGCCCCCGGGCCGGACTAAATCGTTCGGCGGGCCGGTTTCGGCCCGCGGGCCGTACGTTTGACACCCCTGCTATACACAGTCATTCGCTCTATGTCCTTCAGCATATCAAGATCTAAACAATAGTAAATAAATGTCTATATTACTGAAGTCACAATCCAGTATCTCTTTTTTGTTTTTAGGAAAACCAGTGAAGTTTATGTAAGAAAGTAAAAATAAATAAAGTCGCCACCTGCCTTTAACTAAGCAATATTTGTGAGCCTCCTATTGGATAATTACTGCATGGAAGATTATGTTTCAGATGGCAGCATTGCACCCAATGAGCAATGAGTTGCTTCTCATTTCTTAACTCTTGTAAGATCTTAACATTCTGTTTACTTCCCTTGCCCTATGGGGCAAAAATGACCAGCCCTACCAAAAGCCCCAAAATAAAGCAGCTTACTTGAATTTGAAATCCAAAATGTATTTTGCATGATAAAACAATCTGTTATCAGTTCAACTCAATTTAATTAATTTCTATCATGTATTCTGTTACACAATACAAAAATTTCAACAGCATTACACTTTTCCTTTTACCACAAATTAACTCTCAGAACAGTTTTCTTTTACACAGTAAAGGTTTATTATTGTAATTATATAAATGTGAAGCAATTACTTCTGAATTAATACTAAAAGGAAAAAAGACAACAATTTGTAACTTTTCTGTCAGCAGTTCATTCTTTAATATTTTTTAGGATATGAATTCTAAAAATATTTCTCATAGAATAAAATGTGCTTTATTTTGTCAACAATTTTGTCTTTATGTTGAACAACATAAGAACATAAGATGTTAAATATGTTATGGTCAACATAGATGTTGAATATATGTTCAACACCTATACAAGCATTTTATTGCTTTTATGTTGAAGCAATAAAATGTTGAATGATTTTATTGCTTCAACATAAAATGTTGAAGATGTTCAGTATAAGAACATCTTCAAAATCTTATGTTCAACATCCTGCAAAATTACAGAAGATGTTCAACATCTTATGTAGTATAGGACCTGTTGGACAGTTAAACCTCTACTCATGGCTTCAGCAAGGAACCAATGAGGAGAACTTTGATTCAGGGTAATGGTACCCTGAATCAAAGTTCCCCTATACTGTATATACTGAATTTGTTTTTATTTGTTTTTATTATGTCTGAGAATGTTTCTTGTTGTGTTTGGGAACTTGTGTGATGTGAGCTAACTAGCTGCAGATCAACAGTGCAAGTGCGGGTCAAATACAAGTTCAATTTGTACATCAATACAGTTTCTTTGACGTGTGTGTTCATGCGTGCATGTGTGTGTGTGTGCGCGTGTATACATTTTTGAGAGTACGATTTTAAATTTTTAGCGTACACTTTTGAGAGTGCACTCTCAAAAGTGTATTAGGGTTGTAAGTTCATGACTTATTTTACACTAATCTCACTTAATTTTCGAAAGTGTACACTTTTTAGAGTGCCCTCTAAATTGGGTAAACTGTGGTGTTCCATCACAGTTTATCCAATGATGGGTGAAATACAAAGAATTTTTAAAATTATGCCCCGGTAGAAAGGTTAACATATTTAACAGTTGAACCAACTTAACTGAATTGCTTCAGTTGGTAACAATTAATCCAATTAAGTTTATCCAACTTAAGTTTAAAAAAACTCAAGTTATTATGTCTATCTAACTCAATTAAGTTTATACAACTCAATTTATTATATTCACCCACTACAATTCAGTTTGTGTGTGACCTTTGAACTTTCCATTTAAATACCAGAAATGGTATACTTGTTACCCAAAATAAGTAGAGTTACTTTGGGTAACAATACTTTGGGTAACAATATTTACCTAACATATTATGGGTAAGTATTGTTACCCATAATATTGTGGGTACCTGGGGTACCCATAGTATTATGGTAATACTTTGTATTATGGGTAACAAAGTATTACCATAATACTTTGTTTTATGGGTAAAATTACCCATAAGACAGTCTTTGTACCTTAGTGGTGCTCGGCACACATGGAAATATAAACAAAAACAAAATATCACTTTTTCTAAGGATGGGGTCAATTTAGGAAAAGTCATAAAATTTTAAGTTGGAAAAAGATAGTTAAAGGTATTTTTTCTACAGCTAAACATGGTAGTGGGTCACTTTTGATCTGCAAGGGTTAAAGGAATCCATTACCAATACTTTGAGAAATATTAATTCTAGATTTAAAAATAATGCAGTAGGTTGTTTAATTTTTATAAATTTAATAAAATATTGTCATACTGATGTTGGTCACGTTGTAATGCATTCTTGGTAAATGACTCCTACTTGGTCCGACTGCACTAGCTCCGTCCAGCCAAAGCAGCGTTGAGTAACGTCTTTAAGCCTTTTCAAATTGAACTGGAGCACATTGAAATCAATGGGAATGTAGAAATCACAAGAGGTAATGAAGATGAGGAGGACTAAATGGAGGAAGAGGACAGAGTTGGCAGAAGAAGCTGGTGTTTGTGCTTCAGCTTCATAAATCAAACAATGAATGCCATGTCCCTCTGATGTGTCATTAATACAGATAAGTAGTTCTGTGCCTGGTCCAGTAACAGGTGTTTAGGGTCTGGTCTTCCTCCACTGTCTGATCGGTGGTTTCACATTCAGTACGGGAGTAGCATTCGCTCCATCAAGGTAAGAAGAGAGGCAGGTGAAGTTATTACCCATCATGCCTATTGGCTACTGTACAAGCCTAGCATATTCCAAAATAACGGGCTCGAATTGTGAAAGTGGTTCAGGGAGCATAAGGCATCATTTTCACACATGAATTGGGCAGAGTCAAGACCTTAACCCAATTGAGAATCTTTGGGATGTGCTGGAGAAAGTTTTGCACAGCGGTCAGACTCCACAATCATCAAGGCAAGATCTGGTTGAAAAATTAATACAGCACTGGATGGAAATAAATCAGCAGAAGCTTATAATCAAAACAGTGCCACAGTGAATGCATGACTTAGTCATGCATTCACTGACTAAGTCAGTGTGGCATTCACTGTGGCACAATGCCACAGTGAATGCATGACTTAGTCATGCATTCACTGTGGCATTGTGGCATCCAACAAAATATTAGTGTGGCCTATTTTTTTGGCCAACCTCTGACTGAAGACACTGTCATTGAATGTCAGTCAGACCAGTACTGTGCATATAATTACCAGATTATCAAAACAGATTAATAAAATGAGGCGTTACAACTTATATTTTAGTGAGTTGTGCTTTTAAAAGCAAACAGTCTGACTTTCATACTTGACACATATGTTGGTGCAGTATTCTCCAAAAATGACCCAATCTCAAGGGATCACATAATGCTGATACTAAACCTGCTTGGCAGGAGCACTTTCCAATTCATCCAGTTAAAGTGAAAGGAACAGCCCCAAACCCAGAGCCAGCCTTCTTACCACTAAGGTTTGGTTTCATGTTGTGACAAATGTAAAGAGGGTTTATTCCCTTTCTTTGTTCACCTTTCTATAACTAGAGCTCCTTGTAAACATTCCTACTTAAATCCAGTGCCAATCTATTTGATGGTATGAATAAAACCAGTTTATATAAGTTTCTGGGATCAAACATAAAACTCTTCAAGTCTACTCCATACTTTAGTTCAGATTCCAACAGTACAATAAATATATAAATGTGTATTAATTTGCATTGGATAGTTGATAGTTGACCTTTATTGTCAATTATCTACATGTCAATAGAAGGTGTTACATTTTGCTTTTATCCATAATTGAAAATATGAAATACTAGAACAAGCTGGGTTTTTTTCAACTTCAGAGAAGCTGGCCCAGGCCAAAGAAGAGAACCTGGACATGCACCAGGTGTTGGATCAAACCCTGCTGGAGCTCAACAATCTATAGAGACTCCCGCCGCTGGACGAAGGAACACCTGAAGGACTAGAACACAACAAAGCTTCCTCTACACCCGCTCTAACAACAGGAACCATCATTTTCACTGTCAACTAAGAATCCTTTTACTTGGCCCTTGTTATGAGATCAAACTGTGTCTTTTAGTATAAATAAAAATAGTTTTAAGTCAGCAAGAAGCTTTTGTTTAAAATTATATAATGCAGTCAAATAAATTCTCAAATACAATAACGTAACATTCAAAGGTACAATTTTTAAAACAAATGTTTCAGCTCTGTATCTGTCATTTAAAATCAGATGTTTCATTTGCAGATATATTCATATATTTAGATGTTATTTGTATTAAAATAATAAAGAAATAATACACTACTGGTCTCAGCAGACCAGTACGGTTTTGTCATATATGGGTAAATTAATCACAAAAGGAGAACATCTATCCAATACTTGATTAATTAATATCAGTGATGACCAAGCACCACTCATAAGCAACATATATTTATACACAGACACATTCATCATAAAATGATATACGTAAAAATACCTTAAAAACCTGATAGAGCAACACATGATTTTATTCTGGAACTAAATAAAAACTTTTTACATTTCTCTGCTCTTCCTGTTTACCAGCCAGAACTTCCAAATCTTCTTGGTGTTTCATGGAAAAACCTTGTTTAGCTTCTAATGATATTGGTCAAATTAGATGAATTAGTCAACGTATACTTTATTGTCAATTCACCATTGACATTGAAAAGACTACAAGGACTTATATTACTTGCCATTCTAAGTGAAACTAATAACTTAAAAACATCACATGATAAAAACTGACCAATTTTCTGTTTCCACATCTTCAAATATGTGTGCAATTTGTGATTTTGTTTTGTTGAATATGAACTTGTGTTCTAATAAACTAATCCATAAAAAAGACGGCTGCAATTTTACGACTTTTTCTTGCCATGTCAACTATAAAGGTGTTTTTATGAAGCTTTGCATCTCCAATGAGCACTTACTTAAAATATTTACCATATTTTTAAAATATTAATTTTAGTTTTAGAAAATATTCTAAAATTATTTTTGAAATGAAATACTAAAATATTACCTTATTTACACTACATCTACATGAGCAAGAGCCTTATTTCTTTCTAAATTTCTACTAGAAAAGACCTACCCTTGGTACTTTGTCAAAAACTTGTATAGTCGATATCAGTAGTGATTCTTCCTTTTGGCTGGAGGACCATTTATGGTGGAACTCTAGTTCTTTCTTTAGTTATATTTGTGAAAAATAAGAATTTAACTGAACAATGAAAAAAAAATCAGTAAAACTTAAAATGAAAACATGTAGGAAGGAAACACACTATGCAAATGTAGTGTTTCAAAAACCTCATTTGAATTTATTTATACAGAAATTTTAAAATGATCTTGGGGATATTAGTCTAGTGTAGCTGAGTGTGTTTGCTTAAAATATTTAGTTTTTAAGAACAGAGGAAACAATTTCACAGGTCAAGTACAGAAGCATAAAAGGAAAATTCATCATGAAGGCCAAGAGAAAACAGCACAATATAAGAACCAACAAAAATATCAGCAAAACAATGGCTGGATAGAGGGGAACAACCATTTATAGCTACTCAACTATCGTGACATCTGGATGGTTAGCTAGACAATACTGTGTGCTTTGGAGATCTATAGAGGGTGTTGATGTGATAGTACTAAAGTCTGGTGACACTAGAGGGGGGAAAAAGTGTGTTGGCAATTAGCAATATGCTACAAACTGTTTTTGAAGCAAAGCTGTCTTTAGATGGGATTTTACGCCACAGGCCCCGACGCTGAGCTGGAACCAGATACACTTTGAGCAGCAGGACAGAAGGAGTCTGGGTGGCCTACCCACTTTATCTAGATTGTCAGTTGTAGCGTAGGAGCCATACCACTAAGTCATCAGATGAACTAAGCACAACAGCAGTAGTACGATATTCTATAGTCAAAGAAAAGCTCATTATAGAGCATTCCAACCTTGTAATAAATAATCAAATCAAAAGACATTTCAGTTTCTGAATCCAGAAGATTTAATGAGCTAATGAGCCAGCCATGTTATGGCAGCTTTACTAAGAATTTAATGAATCTGAATTCAGTGCATGACCAAACTGCTCAGCTCTGAACCTAAGTGTGTTTAGTAAGTGTTGTTAACACAATGAGTTCATTCCTTCGAATTAAAGCTCATAGCTAACAGTCCCTGCTGTGTCTGCGTGTCGGGGTTTTTTTGCCCCGACACTCCACTGCAACATTAGAACAGCAAAAAGATCTAGACAAAGACAAATTAAATTGTGTGTTCACATATGATGCACACAATTAGTCAAATGTTTCCCACTTCCTCCTGAGGTCCTCTACCTTCTTCTTCTGTGGTATAAGAGGTGTGGCCATATGAAGCAGGTCCCCAAAAGGATCCGGAGGGTTCTGATGTTCTTCTTGTGCCTGCAGAGGCTTTGGCAGCGTGTTCATAGATGTGCTAAAGACACAGGCGGAATCCACCAGGCTGGAGAGGGCATGGCTGCTGCCAGAGGAGCGAGGCAGAGTACTGACTGAGGGGGAGGCTGCTGACGGGGCCAGCCCATGGCTGGGGGGTAGGGTGGAAATGCAGGGGGATGGCTGTCTGTGGAGTCCTGGTAATGTAGAGAAGGGCTGAGGCTGGGATGAAGCGTGGATGTATGGACCTAATGGAGGACCATAGACGGCTGTAAAGGGATTTCCACTAACAGCTGGTGAGTATTGCTGCAAAGACTGGGCAAATGGGTTTAGAGATATGTGAGGGTGAGGAGGAAAATGGGGCAGACTCTGTGGGTAGGGCCTGGGTGCTAGAGCTGGCTTGCATGCAGATGATGCCCTGATATCCAAGGCATCTGGGAGAGCAGAAAGGTTAGTCTGTGCTGAGCTGCTCAAGGGGTCCAAAAGCCTGATCAGATCAACACCGTCCTCATCAGGTTTTGGGGGCCTCTGCTGGGGTTCATCTGAGGTCATGCTCAAAGCCTGCCGGAATTCTTCTCTTCCTGGAGTAGTTCTTCCTTCACCATTCCCTGAAGTCTTGGAACGCATCTGCACAGTAGGGGGCACCAGAACAGTTCCCAGCTCGGGTGTCTTCCTTCCGTGGGGTCGAGGAATGGTTATGTTACCAAAGGTAGAGGGATCTAGAGAGTCTACTGCTATGCCAGAGCTTTCACAGAGAGGGGAGCAGGATTCCATTTGCACTGGAAGTTGGACAGACGGAGGCTTATCACAGGCAGGAGGCACACAGACAGGCAGGATAGACGGCTCCTGGCCTAGACTGCCCAGCTTGTTGTAAGGATTGGAGAGTTTGAGTCCTGGAAGAGTTCGGGAGTTTTCACTGATGCTCAGGTCCAATCTCTGCAGGAACAACCAGACAAACAGAACACTGCATAGTTCATGTTCCACTACAGAGCCCAGCTAGATTAAACATAAACCTTCCGTTACTGCTGTTGCCTGCACATCTAAAATGTTTCCTGAATGATACAAATGTGTTTATTTTACTACTTGTGGCATTTAGTTTAAGTTTTTTACATAGCAAAAATAGATCTAATATTTTGACTAAAACTCAATCATAAAAATTTCACATCCTACCAACAGCAGGGAAACGGATGGAGAGAGAAGAGCTGACAGCAGAATCAACAGTTCTAGGTTTGTCAATAAATGGGATATTTTTCATGATCATTCATTTAAAGCACACATGGTTTCTTTGAGGAATCCTGTAAACCCTTTGCTTTCCATTCCATTTAATTTCTTTTGTATATTACGATAATCTAAACTTTTAAGCAGTCTGCTGGGCTGTTTATGCTGTAAGTCGGAATGGATGGCTGACCTGGAAGGTGAACTTTGCTTGTAATTCTCCAAAGTCTTTCGGTGTTCTCAGGTCCTCCAGACTCTTAGCCAGGGTGATTGGTTGACACTCAGGTTCATCCTGGCATCCAAAAATGTCTCCCAGCAGGTTGACATTGGAGAACTTTTCAGTAACTGGACTAGGAGGGGCAGTGAGGCTTTCTGCCCCCAAACCACGGTCATCTATCAACTCCACCTCCTTCAGGGAACGGTATGGCTGTGGTCTGCAGACAGACGGGGACCTTTGGTTATTAAAGTCTTTGGTAACACAGGAGTTTGTCATAAATATGGAACCATATGTTACCTTAAGAACAAGAAAAAATAAGGATCTTTGTGGCAAAAGTGTTGACTTAGACTCCCGCATTAACACACAAGAGCATAATGACCTTCAAACTCTTACTTCCCCCTTCATATGCAAAGAGGTTTTGTTTTTAGGACATAATGCTAGCGATAGACATATAGACATATTTCACTGGTAAATATAGGAAGGAAGTAGAAAAAGATTTATTTAAGGTGACCAAAGAGATGCCTACAGAGGTGACCAGTCAAAAGGAGTGGAGAAAAGAAAACTGTCAGGAAAGCCAGAGATGGACTCATCATAATGGAGCTCGTCCCCAGATGAATCCTCTGACAGAAACACTGTATAGTGACGAGTAGGACGGACAGAACTACAGAGCAAAGACAGAAAAAGAGAAAATTTACAGTGCATCACAGATTATCTAAGTCAAAAAGAGACAGAAAGTAAAAAGGGAAATTAAGTAAAGAAGGACCTCCAATAAATCTTTTTATACACTGAACATTAGATCTGAGAATGTTTAGCCAGACAATTTTTTAAACATGTAGTGTATGACATCTTTTGTTCCCCTAAAAATGCAAGTGTGTGAATCACTGCAACATTACTAAGCTACTTAATGCTTTTCATTTCAGATGTTAAAAATTGTATGGTAACATTTTATCTGACGAGGTGTGCATAAGACTGCCATGACGGTCTTATAACCTCAGTTGATAAAGGTTATAAATATGACCTGTTATGAACATGAAGGAGTCTTTATGAATGTCTACGACAGTTGTCATGAAGTGACACTCGGTAAATAATGACACTTTTTACTGCAAAGTTGCTGTAAAAGTTGCATTGAAAGACTATTAAAAGTGCCAACTTTGCATTAAAGTGTCATTATTTACAAAATAATACAAAGTTACCAATTGTACAAGAAAAACAAGTAACATTACAGACCCACCTCTCTACTTCTGAAGTCAATAATTGAAAATTATTTACATAGACTAGTAAAACTTTGAAAAAGAAAACTGTTATACCTACTTCTTTTAAACCTAGAACCTAAATCCAACCGACTGAAGGGGTTCCTATTTCATATTGAATCAAATAAAACGTTTGTATAATGTACCAAGTACATGATTAAAAGAACTGTTAATTAAAATTAAAAAAAAAAGACCAAATGCATGTAGTCTTGGAACCATCTTGTACTGTATATAACATGACTACCTGATTGAGTGGAGAGTCATTACAGATGCACCCATCAGGGTTTTTCAGTTAAGAGGTTTACAGAAAAACTGCCCACTCTGATTTTAAACCAATCATGATTGTTTGTTTTTTTTGTAGAATGCATGAAATGGAAACATGTGATGGAGGTTCTTTGATAAGAGAAGTGTTGAATCCAACAGAAACTGAATAAACATTATTTCAGCTTGGGTATCAAATCTTTCTGACCTTTAAAAATGCATCAAAGGGAATGAAACTAATCAGAGACGATACTGAGAAGACAGGTCAATTTTGATCTCTGGTCTATTTCATTATTTCTGCCAAGTTGGTCAGAACATTTTAGTAGTCCAGGCATCTTTTGCCATTTTATAATTGACTTTAGTGCATATACTTAAATATATGCTTACTGGTCACAGCTGCTTTCCAGACTTGCGTTACTGCTTGGTCTCTTTAATAGTGTTGGTGGTCGGGCCTGTAGTAATGACAAAGCAAAGGAAGCAACTCCACATCAATATGCATAAATTCCAGTTCTCCAAAAACACAGTGAACAATTTGACCAGAGAGAGATGGCTGAAGTTCAGTTCAGTGAATGCAGAGCTTGTAGTTGAACATAAAAAGTCTTCCTTTCTGCAGGACAAGTAAAAAGAAAAACTAACAAAATACCCAGAATAAGACCCTAAATCCATTGCAAGCTGATGGGGAAATAATGCGAATGTAGAGAAGTAGCAAAACAGGAAAAAAAGTTCACAATTTCTTATAAAAAATAAGAACTCACTGCTTCATAGTCAATTTTATTTATGTAATTAAAATGCACTTGTTCAAATTAGCACAATAACAAGAAAAATAATGTAGTAACTGGCAGAACAAAAACAAATATTTTTTGGATTCTAATTGCCTCTATTTTAGATCAAATAAGATGAGACATCACTGTGGCAGACATATCCAAAAGTTATGTCAATTTGACACAGTTTTATCAGTTTTGTTTCTCACAGAATGTCCCAAGCAATGCCTAAGGTGGGTAAGGGGGTCTAAATTGTCTTGATATAGATCTTAATACAGGATTGTAAAACCAGGTCTTTCACTGGTCTGCATGAGGACCATGAGGATCCAGGACAGCTGACAAAGGGAAAAGGGCGACACTCATCAACTAAGCTGGTTCCAGCTCATATACAAAACATCAACATTAGTTCATCTGCATAAATCTTCAATGATCTCAAGCACACCTCCTCCTACCCTTCTAAACAGTAACATTCTGTAAATTAGAATACATGTCCTGATGAATCTTGTTTGTCAGGTTGAAAGTACCTGTTGAAAATAACAGCACACTTTTCATTAAGCTCTCATTTTAGTTTTTAAAAATACTATTTCTATTGGTGTGACGTAACGATCTAGTTTTAAATGTAATGTTTTCACTGTAAATGAAAGCTGATTATAATTAACAGAAATGAAGGCTTTCAAACATCCATCTGTGCAGAATTCATCTATAGCAGTGGTCCCCAAACTTTTTCCTGTGAGGGCCAAATGACTTTTTCCTTCTCTGGTGGGGGGCCGGAGATTGTTGACGGAAGTGGGGGGTAGGGGAGGGGCGCGTTTCGTGATTGATTTTACCCAGAAAGCACATGGGCAAACGGTCACTGGGACTGACTAGTATATATTCCATTGAGGGAATGTAACTTTAACATATTAATTTCTCATATGTTAACATACAGGCTTGTTTTGAAGTATAAGCTGCTACTTCTGTAAGTAGCAGCTTATTGCTTCGAAGAACTCGGCGTTCATAACAGACACGTGTGTTCTTCTGCTCTACCGCTAGCGAACAACAGTACTGAATAAATAACTTAAAAGTCAAGCAGTTCCCTAAAAGTCCAACAGATGGCAGCAATGCGCCCCACAATGTACAGGACACACTTCCTGCTAAAGAGCCCCCTGGTGGTTGAAAAATCCACATATAAACCGGAAAATACAATAAATGAAAAAAAATCTGAATGCTCTCTGGTATTGTTCAGGGGGCCGGACCAAATGTGGAGGCAGGCCGGAACCGGCCCGCGGGCCGTAGTTTGGGGACCCCTGATCTGTAATGATAAAGTTCCGAAAATAAATAGGCTTTTCAATATAATTTATTGAATGGGTTTGTACTTCAAAAGGCTTTAAAAGTGCTTTTATCTTCTATTTATCTTTTTTTTTTCCTAAAAAATATAACTTACGGTATATATTAATACACTATTAGGCAGTTCAATTATACTAAATATAACCAAGCTTCATTATGCACTTTTCAGGACTATATTGTCCTTCTTCCAGTTCAGCCCATGTTCACTTTAGCTCACCTGTCCAAAGTGCACAGTGACTGGCCTGTGGCCGTCCCATGTTCGCTCGGGTTCCTCCCTCATGATGGCAGCAGTGGAGAAAGCAAATTCTGCTGTGCTGTCATCATCGACTGCTGACCTAGGGGTAGTGAAGCCATTCTCCCCCTGCTCCTGCAAAGGGAAATCACAGGAAGAAGGACTGAAATGCCCCTCGGGAGTATGTTTCGTGTTTTTCTGTGTGTCGGTGTGTTTGAGTGTGTTTCAAAGAGAAAAACTTTTCAGTATTCATATGTAGAAACTACACAAGCTTGTATAAGTGCTACTTGTCCGTAATCTTTTCAGTTTTATGTATCTGCAGATGCAACAGGTTTCAGTCCAGAACTTGCCTTGAAAACAGCACAATGAATAGACTGAATTTAGCAGCCATGTACATAACTCACTAACTGTGCAATGCAGTGTAAAAACGTTTGATGCTACAGTACTTCAAACTGCATTTATTTAGATTATGGTAAGTAGTGTTATTATTAGTATTATTAGTAAATATTAGAAATAGTAAAACATCCATCCATTTTCTGTACACCCTTGTCCCCAATGGGGTCGGGAAGGTTGCTGGTGCCTATCTCCTATGTTTCGGGCGAGAGGCGGGGTTCACCCTGTACAGGTCGCAGGGCAACACAGAGACGGACAGGACAAACACGCACACACCTGACAGTCATGTTTTTGGACTGTGGGAGGAAGCCGGAGTACCCGGAGAGAACCCACACATGCAGAGGGAGAATATGCAAACTCCATACAGAAAGACCCTGGGCCGGGAATCGAACCCAGAACCTTCTTGCTGCAAGGCAACAGTGCTACCAACTGTGCAACCCTACTAAAACATCATGTTTTATTTTCTTTTTGTTCTCTTACTAGAGTAGCATGATTTTCCGTTCTATTTGTTCAACAAATGACCATGCAAACTTAAACCCAATGTAATTACAAACTGCTCCTCAAAATTCCACCAAATATAGCAGAAATTTTCAGTTATTCTCAAACAAACATATTATTCCTACATCATAATACTTATGGTACAACACTGGAGCAGTAAAAATGAAAAATGAATTAAAAGCATGAGCTTTTAATTCATTTTTCATTTTTACTGCTCCAGTGTTGTACCGTAACCTACTCTGTAACAGATTTGGGTCTATTACAGTAAAAACATGAGGAACATTGTTTACCTGATTGAGACATTTTGGTCTTGATAAAGATCCTGATCTGGCTATTGAGATTGGATCATACAATTTTCAGAACTCTTAGTGTAAATACCTACAGAGTTACATACCTTCTGTTTCAACCGGCTTTTGACTTCTTTGATGCGCATTTTAGCATGGTCCTTTGCCTGTTAAACACAATTGGATATTCACTGCCCTTGCAGATTATAAGCAACATAAAAGTTGAGTCTCCGGAGGACGGGAAAGAAAGAGCAACCATTTTGTGACTTGTCATCATAATGTTTGCTGCTGCAGAATTAACTATTCTACAGAACAGTTTGTTCAAACTGTTTCCAAATGACAGAAATATAATGCACTAAATTGATAGTTTTGAACGAGGAAAAGTACTTACAAACTTGTACACAGTCTTCATGGCTGGATTTGCCTTGGTCTTCACTGTTTGGAAGATAGCTCCACCCCCTTTCTGTTTCAAAACATTAAAGAGTTAGAGGTAGAAGTCTCACTGTTAATACACAAAGTCTCACAAATGAAACATTACTGCATGAGCAAGGATGTAAAATCTCTAAATGCCTCCAGCCTTTATGTGATTAAGTAATTGATAAATAATCCATCAATCTAATATAGTGAATAAAAACTGCACCCATACATATGATTGGAACCCAACAAGCATCCCAATTCCAGCAGAGGTTCCGGAAACAAGGAAGACGTTAGTAAAGTCAAAAGAAGCTGCTCTATGAACCAAAGCAAGTCCTAAAATCCACTTTTAGGACATGAAAGGTTTTCAACAGCTGGTGCAAAACCAAAAATGAGGACCTTGTACATTGCCAGGTTTTGGTTCTTAGATGCCTCCAAGAACTTCAGAGCTACAGGCTGGATGGCTGAAGCAGCATTCAATGAAATCTCTTTGGAAGCTATCTGCACTGCTGCTTCTTGGAACCTCCCGATACCTTCGTGAGATTCTACACAGTGAATGTGGCCACTGGTTTCAATGGTTTCCCCCAGTGTATTGTAAGCCTGGCGGCAGCCATGCTTTCCTGCCCCCCGCCCCTACCAGACTAAGTGTTGCTTGCTTTTGTTTTTAGGAAAATAATAAAAACATTTTTAAAATCGGCTTTTTTTTTTTAAGTTAAAAGTCAGATTGCAAGCGTCTCTGCTCCTCCCAGCGTTTCACTGATGGAGCAGATTTATTCATAAATTATATGTTTATAATTGATGCATTTAAAGCCGGGAGACTGGAACAATCACATAGCTGGCGCTTCAGCGCTTTGCTTCCCGCACTGAGTTCACCTCTTGACGCGCCTCCTTTCACTCAAAGTGGACACAGGCTGACCTGCGTGGATATTTACATCAACCACCTGTGAGGTATTATGTTTCTCTGGAGTAGCCTTCTCTACATCAAGGTAGGAGTTTAAAACTCATCGAGTTAGCTCCGGTTGCGCAGCTCTATGTGAACCACAGGAATAACTTGTGGTTCACATAGTTATTCCTGTGGATATAACTATGTGACGCACACCACTTTCAGAGGTGTGCGTTGAGGGAGTGGTGAGAATGATTTATATTTGTGAACAAACCAGCATGTGGTTCTGTGTCCATCTTCCCTGTAAAGTTCATGTATGTGTTTCCAGTTGGCCGGAGCGTTGGTGGTTAACGAACCAGTGCTAACCACTTACCATGCAGGTTCAGTCCAGAGAGGAACTTTCGCGCCTGCCTCTTAGTCATACATCATGCTGGTTTTATATTATTTTACGATACTTCAACGTTTTCCGTCATCTGACAAGTAGCAAGTCTACTCCACTTTATTCACCAAAAACATTTTTTTTTTAATATATATAATTCACCAAAAACTGTTCTGTAATCTGGAACGTTCGCTATGCTGAGCTCCAGTTAGCCGCCTGATCTCACTGCGCTAGAGGCAACTGCGTCATGCGTCACGGGCAAAAGGTCAAAGGTAACAAGGTGACCGGAAGGCTTATTATGTTGTACAAAAAAATAATAAAATAAAATAAAATAAAATAATTGTAGTACATGTTATTATGTGTCAGAAGAGGGCTTTGAAAATAATAATACCAACAAAAAACAAAAAAAACAAAAAAATTGACCAAAAGGGCACTTTGGGGCAAGGAGCAAAAAGGGCAGGTGCTCAAGCACCCCCAGCCCCCCCCTCTGCACGTGCCTGCCCATGAGCAACAGTCAAAAGCAACATGCAACTACACATAAAGCAATCCAGACTTCTCAAAAATGCTATGTAGTTGCATTTTATTCAAGCTGCAGTTTATAACTAATAAAAAATATGTTTTCTCCATATTTGTTAAAGCTGTCACCTTGTTGTACCAGTTTGTTATGAGACAGATAATCTGTGAAAACAATCAAGCTCCTCCACCTCCTTCCTGAATTACTACTGCTAGCTAAAGTAATGCACCATTCTGACCAAAACAACCAATCAGAACTAGTAGGATGCTCTTAGCAATGTCAATTAGCCTCATTCACTCATTGCTAAATGTGCTAATGTTGGAGAAATAACTTATCATCACAAGAAACCGCTTATCTGCCGTCATTGGTAGGTATGTTAACTAAACTGAGCATTCACAATTTGAATCTGCATAGCGCTAGCTGCAGAACGGCACAAATCGAGGGTGAGGAAAGATGAGCAGCACCACATGAGATTGTGATTGACAGCAATGAAACTCTCCTGCCACCGACTGGTTGTTTCCAGCACTGGGAGAAGGCAGAGGAAATAGGTTTTACACATATTACCTCTCATACCATAATGTTACAACAAAATGACAGTTTTAACAAATATGTGGAAAAAATATTTATATAAAAGTGACATACTGCAGCTTTAATTTCACTCAGGAGAGGACGGGTCAGGAGGGACGTGGGTTAGAGCTGCTACTCATTGACTCACCTGTTAAGTGTTGTAAAAGGTACAAGGGACAAGTTCAATATATGAATATGCTGGTAATTTCTTTCCTTAATTCATTAAATGCTAGTGAAATGGAGGCAAACAGTAGTTTGTAGCTAAGCTAACTATGCTAAATGGTTGATAATCTTACACAGTCTACTCACCTCTCTTGGAGAAAAACTGGGTTATAAATTAACACTCTTGCCTTTTTCTCTCTCTCCCTCTCTTTCTTTTGAAAACCTGATTTTAACTTTTCTTAGCAGCATAATAACTTTAAATAGGGTCAGAGATAGCTCCTGGTTGGATGAGCAAAGATACGCCTTATTAATAAATTAAAGACGAGAATACGCCTTTACTATAAAAGTTTCTACACAGAAGTAACAAATCAGATTTGCTCTTGCAATTCTCCAAAGACATCTTTGCTTTTCTTTCTTTCTTTCTTTCTTTTGTAAATGAATGTATGTCTCTGTTGTTCTGCAGTTTCTGTTGTAATTTCATACGTTGTCTTCTATTGGATTAAACTCTGAAATTCTGTGACGTCTACACTCATTGTTGTTTTCTGTGTGGTTTCACTTCGGCCCGCCGGGAGAACCTGGGATCCGTGAGAAGAAGATTGAGCCAGAGATTTTCCAAAAATATATTATAACCTAAAATCTTCTTCAACACTGCCTACTTGTTTTTGCATCTTTAAGTACAAAAACACGCCGATGGACCATCTCGGCGACCCGGCCACCAGGCTTAGCAAATTTTCTCAGGGAAACCATGGGTGTTGATTCAGACAATATTGTTTTTTTAAGAGCAGGCTCAAGATCCATCTTCTTAACTTCATTTTCTGAACTGGATCATTTCAGCTCAGTTTATACATTTTCCATACAGTTCTGTGTTTTTCCATGTGGGAAAGGGGAGGGTAATGTTTGTTTTTATTTTGTGAGTTTATTTTGTATAAATCTGTACAGCACTTTGATCTGCTTTTAGGGTACCTTCTAAAATGTATTAATTTATTTGTTTGTTTGGTTGGTTGGTTGGTTGGAGAGAACTTGTTGCAGCAGCCTTCTCTGTTTCTGTAAGGTGGGCATCATTTTCTTTTTTTCTCTTTTCTATTGCGATTCCCCAGGACTCTGTTGGTATTCATAATTCAACAGAGATGCCTAAAGCACTGTCAGTAGGGAGGAAATAGAACTACAGCTATGACTGTAACTATCATTATATGAATCCTGGATGACCTGGATGACTGGCGGTCATCATTGTGTTTTCATGAGAAGATTAAGGGACTATGTCTGGAGGCACGTGATTATACCGATTCATTGATACCACAGGTGACTTTGTTGACATACAATACTCAGCTAGTGAATAAAGAATTTTTAAAAAATCAGTGCTTAAAGCACCGTCTCAGGCTGTCATCCAGGATTCATAGAACCATAATTACAGTTGTAACTTAGTCCAACATCTGTGTCTCTACATAGCTATATTCAGCAGAATTATAACGTCCACAATTGAATTCTTCTTTCATACAGCACTGCAACCTGAGCTTGGGTCAATGAGAAGTTGTAAAAATAAACCGTTATTAAAGGTTTCTGGGCTGCTTCATCAGCAGAACATAACCAATATGTCCCTTAGCATGGAATAAAATACAAGGAATTTTTGTGGTGTAATGCACATTAAAATCAGCAGATACAATTCAAATGTGTGTTCATAACAGTGAACTACAGCCAGTTATCATCTAATTCCAAGCAATTTGGAATTAGATGGAAAAGCACATCAATATAACTAATAGATGTAGGGCTGTTGTAAACGAATATTTTAGTAATCG